TCCCTAACCACATTCATACATTCAACATCAGTCCCCGTCCCCAAGGTAGCGTACAATCTAAGGTCCCCAGCAACTTTCCCACATCAATACATTCAATTTCGCTCCGCCCCCCGAGGAGCGACACAATTTAGGACGTGAGCTAACTTAACATCCCCATACATGTCACATGGAGTCCCCGCCCCGAGGAGCGTACAATCTAAGGTCCCTAACTCACATTCATACATTCACATCAGTCCCCGCGCCCCCAAGGAGCGTACACTCTAAGGTCCCTTAACTCACATTTCATACATTCTCATACTAGGGATAATTTTAGACAGGAGCTATTAACCTCCCAGCATGTCTTTGTGAGTGCGGGAGTATACCGAGTACCCGTAGTGAAACCCAGCGACAGGGAGAACATGCAGACTCCAGCAGGTGTGCAGGTTGGTTGAAATTGGAGACCTTGCCCCCCGAGTACTTGCCAGGGGAAGTGCTGAGCACTCAAGCCCGCTGTAAGGGTAGGAAGAATTGTGGTCCCCGGTATTGAGGGCAATGGAGGGCCCAGGCAGACATCAAGCAGGAACCAGTCCCATATACAGCAATCCTAGTGAAGGAGAGATTCTTCTTGGATTTGTTACCTTCATAAATAACACCATCCAACTGGATGAACTACTCACCCCGATGGATTGAAATCCAGGAAAATGAGAATGTCACTTCCAATTCACCCAGAAGGGAACGCACATACTCCGCCATGTAGGCTCACCTCTACCTTCTCATAGGCTTGTGCCATCATACCATCTACAATGGATAGGAAACCTTCCTGGGAATCCCCCCAATCAAGAAATGAATCCACAATAAGAAGTGATTGGAAACGGGAAGAGTGACCATCGAGAGATCAAGTAATCCTGGAATATGTGGCAGGAAGAAGAAATGAATGGAAATGAGTCAGAGAATAGAAAACAATCTCCTTGTCCCCTGATAGAATTTGGACCGTGATGTCCCATTAATTTGTGAACTATTTGAGGTGAAAGGTTCAGGATCTTCTATATGGGAAGTGTGCAGAAAGAGTCTATGCAGACAATCACCATCCCATCATGGGAATCCCCATCTAGGGGTTCCCACACATGGCTCGTATTAGAGGACTCAGTGCGCCTCCTCTAGGGTGTAATGAAGACCTGCGTCCCGTATCACTGACCGTATACAACATAGTAATAGTACTATATACCACCTAGAGCCCCAAACATTTCCCTCACACACTCGGCAGTGCAGGCAGAACTACCATACGTTCCCGATCTCCCATCTAAAGTACCCACTCAGCCAATCAGACTGTTACTGGCCACCAGAAAGGAAGTGAGCCTTGTTTTGGGGGGGGGTTTTGGGGGGGGGGGGTGTACTCTGAAATCACTCAACCAAAATGAACTCCTTAGAACGTTTTGCCTTCGTCATAGCTTCATAGATTGCCTCGTCAGCTCATCCAAGATGGAGCTGCATCTCATGCCTCTTCCCTCCTCTTGGATATCAGCCACCTATGAATTACGCCCATCGTGATGACGTTCATATCCCACCCCTTTATGTAATATACAAGGAGATCATAATCCCCCCTTATGTTAATTAATACATGAGATCATAACCCCCCTTAAGTATTATACTTGGAAGATTCATATCCCCCCCTATGTAATTATACATGGAGATCATATCCCCCCCCTTAATGTATTATACATGGAGATCAATTATTCCCCCCTTATGTATTATACATGAGAGATCATCATCCGCCCCTTAAATGAATTATAATACATTTGATAGATCATAGTCCCCCTTATGTATTATACAATGGAGATCGTAACCCCCCCTTATGTATTAAACATCGGAGATCATATTCCCCCCTTATTTATTTATACATGGAGATCCATATCCCCCTTATGTATTATACAAAGGAGATCAAATCCCCCCCTTATGTTTTTATACATGGAGATCCATATCTCCCCCCTGTATTATACATGGAGATCATATCCCCCCCTTAAGTATTATACATAGTGATCATAGATCCCCCCTTATGTATTAATACATGGTGGATCAATATCCCCTTATGTAACCATACATGGAGATCATATACCCCCCCCTTATGTATCAGACATGGGAGATCATTATCCCCCCCTTATTCTTAAACTGGTGATCATATATCCCACCCCTTATAGTATTATACGTGGAGATCATATCCCCCCCTTATACGCGGTATATACCCCATTATCCCATTACCCCCCCCCCCCTCCCCACCCATACCAAACTACCCACATAACCCCCCCCACTACGCCGCGGAGATCATATCCCCCCTTATGTATTATACATGGAGATCATATCCCCCCTTATGTATTTATACATGGAGATCATATACCCCCTTATGTATTAATACGTGAGAAGCATATCCCCCCTTATGTATTATACGTGGAGATCATATCCCCCCCTTATGTATTATACGTAGAGATCATATCCCCCCTATAGGTATTATACATTAGATTCATATCCCCCCCCTTATGTATTATAATACGTGATCATATCCCCCCCCTTATGTAGGTTATACATGGGATATCAAATATCCCACCCTTATGTATATACGTGGAGAATCAATATCCCCCCCTTATGGTATTATACATGGAGACATATCCCCCCGTATATGTATTATACATGGAGCGATCATATCCCCCTTATGTATTATACATGGAGAATCCATATCCCCCCTTATGTATGATACGTGGTAGATTCATATCCCCCCCTTATGTATTAACGTGGAGATCAATCCATCACCCCCTTAATGTATTATACGTGGAGATCATATCCCCCCTTAATGTTAATAACGTGGAGATCATATCCCCCCTTATGTATTATACATGGAGATCAAATATCCCCCCTTATGTATTATTACAACGGAGAATCATATCCCATCCCCCTTATGTATCGATACATTGGAGATCATATTCCCCCCCTTATGTATTATAACAATGGAGATCAATCCCCCTTATGTATCATACATGGAAATCATATCCCCCTTATGTATCAATACATGGGTGATCAATATCCCCCCCTTATGTATTATACACGGAGATCATATCCCCCCTAATTATACAACGGAGATCATATCCCCCCTTATGTATTATACACGAGATCATATCCCCCCCCTTATGTATTATACATGGAGATCATATCATCCCCCCTTATGTATTATACATGAGATTATATCCCCCCTTATGTATATACAATCACGGAGATCATATCCCCCCCTTATGTATTATACACGGAGATTCATATCCCCCCCTTATATTATTAAACACGGGAATCATATCCCCCCCTTAATGTATTATACACGGAGATCATATCCCCCTTATGTAATTATACAACGGAGATCATAACCCCCCTATATGTAATATAACTTGAGAGCATATCCCCCCCCTGATGTATCATACATGGAGATCATATCCCCCTTATGTATCATAACATGGTGGGATCATATCCCCCCCTTATGTATTATACATGGAGACATATCCCCCCCTTATGTATTATACATTGTGATCATATCCCCCCCTTATGTATTATACATGGTGATCATATACCCCCCCTTATGTATTGTACATGGAGATCATATCCCCCCCTTACTGTATTTGTACATGGAGATCATATCCCCCCTTATGTATTATACATCGGAATCATAATCCCCCCTTATGTATTATACATGGAGATCATAATCCCCCCTTATGTATTATAACATGGAGAATCATATCCCCCCCCCTTATGTTATTTTATACATGGAGATCATATCCCCCTTATTGTATTATACATGGAGATCATCATCCCCCACTACCCCCCTTCCATACTGAGCCACTTTACCCCCTTCCTGCCCCCAGGGCCATCCCCCAGCCGCCCCATTTTTTTTTCAGGTTTCAGCCGCTCTCCACCTCACACTTTGAATGACAATTGCGCTGCGTCATACAACATTGTACCCAAACTAAAATTTGGGGGATATCTGTAAACTGTCCTGACTTTTTTGGGGGATATCTGTACTGTCCTGACATTTGACGGGGATATCTGTCCCTGTCCTGACATTTGGGGGATATCTGTACTGTCCTGACATTTGGGGGATATCTGTACTGTACCCTGACATTTGGGGGAGTGGGGTACCACCAAGAGGTCACACTGACCCTTGGGGTACTCCACTAAATCACAACAAACTGAACCTTGGGGTAAACCCCACTAATCAAACTGATCCTTGGGGTACCCCACTGACCCACCCTGACACCCCCAGACCACCCCCGAGCAGAGTATGAATCATTAACCACTACTCTCTGAATACGATCTATCAGACACCAGATGATTTCTATCCATTTATATTCAGATATTCCAGACTTTACCTTACACATTAGCCGTGTGTGGGGAACTGTGTCCGAAGTATACCACGTCCACACCGGCCGCCACCTATCCCCTCTGTCCGAGTAATACCACATCCACAGCCACACCTATGTCCAAGTATACCACGTCCAACCGCCATCCCTCTGTCCGTGGGAGTATACTACACCCCTCCATCCCTCTGTCCAAGTATACCGCATCCACTGCCCCCCGATGTCCAAGTATACCACATCTACCGCCACCCCCTCTGTCCCAGTAACCACATCCACAGTCACCCCTCTGTCCAAGTATACCACGTCCACCGCCACCCCCCCTCTGTCCAAGTATACCACGTCCGCCGATCCCCCCCTCTGTCCGAGTATACAACCCACGTCCGCCGCCCCCCCTCTGTCCGAGTATACCACGTCCGCCGCCACCCCCTCTGTCCGAGTATACCACGTCCGCCGCCACCCCTCTGTCCGAGTATACCACGTCCGCCGCCCCCCACCCCCTCTGTCCGAGTATACCACTGTCCGCCGCCACCCCTCTGATCCCGAGTATACCATTTTCCGCCGCCACCCCCCCTCTGTCCGAGTATACCACTGCCACCGCCAAACCCCTCTTTCCGAGTACACCACGGCCACCCCGCCACCCCCTCTGTCCGAGTACACCACGGCCACCGCCACCCACCACCCCCTCTGTCCGAGTACACCACGGCCACCGCCAACCACCCCTCTGTCCGAGTACATCACGTCCACGGCGCCACCCACCCTCTGTCCAAAGATACCATGTCTTATTCTCGGGACAGAGGGATGCGGTGGACG